CTGACAATATTCCCATTGGACGGACTCTCCAATCAATTGTCATTTCATCAGGGGCCGTTCGTTGCAAAAGTTAGTATAGATAGTGCATACATCTAGCCAAGAACTTTGCAAAGACTTGCGAACACTGCGGCTTCAATTCACTCCATATTTAGTTCATAAGATAACGACGCAAACAAACAAATCCTGCTTACAAACGCCTTACGAAAAGGAGAAGAAGACCTTTTTTCCCCGTAATAAAACGTCATTTACGCCTTAATAGAAATATCCCTGTCGAACCTTTTGTAGCGATATAAAAATGATTATCCACCTCTTTGCTCTGATTTGTTTTAACTGCGGGTGTAGCGAACTTTAAGATTCGCTTTTAAGCGGATATATATCTTCCACTTGCCCAATACTAATTTTGTCCGCTTTTAATTGGGCAGATTGCCAAACCATAACCAAACTGAAAAAGAAAGAAAAATTAAAATCATCTATTTTATAAGCGGGTGCCTTACCCCGCCCCCTCGTTATATATTTTTTTGGTGTTCGTCAGTGCCAATAAAGTACGATTGCATATCCTCTTTTTCCAGTGATTATTCTGCTCCATTCGCCTCATCCTTCTGTCTAGGTTTATTAATATTTCATTATGACTATTTGTTGGTTGCTTATATGTTCAGCATGTACGGCAGATGATGGATAACGAAGGCGAAAGGGTTATAATTTTTTTTTTTTTTTTTTTTTGTTTCTTTTTCATTCATTTAATATTCCATACGTTATTTGCATGCAACTAAACGTGCTCGATAGTATATAATATGTTACAATGATTCACAGGCCCGCATAAAATGTACGAGGCATGTCTGAAAAGTTTCAATCTGTAATAAAAAAAAAAACATATTTTTTTTTTTGCAAAAGTCAACATCATCGCAGTCTCCGCTTGGTACGTTTTTCCTCATACGATTGAAATCGTTTTCCGTGGAGAAACTTTTTGAGATTTTTTAATATATATTATCTTGAGGGTTAGGTCTAAAAAATGTGAACGTATTCGTTGCCTTGTGGCAGATCCATTGTTTTTATTCTCGTATGAGTAGAATCGGAGTGCAATGAACAGTCAGTTTTCTCGTGCATGCTCGTCGGACGTGTTCTTAGTCTCTGCCATTCCTCTAAGCTCAATCGACGGTAATTCCGTCTTTCCAGCGTTGCACCAACATGTTCTGAAACAAATGCTGCCACCATCATTGAACTGTTTAGAGATTTCCTAGGTGGGCAATTCGCGACATGGCCTAATAGGTCTATTATATTGTTAGGACTCTCACGATTCCCACCATATTCTTCGGTTCGGAGCGCCATATTGTGTCTGGCGTTATGACGTGTGCACCAAACACCTGGTGCCTGGTTCTGCAGACGAATGCGATGTGATGGCACATTTCAATTGTTGACTGGATGTGGCTGGGATTGGATGTATCCATATTTTTCATTCTCTTTGAGACAACTCTCATCCGTATAGAAACCGATGACCAAATGTAGGTTGTCATCGGATATATCCATATTTTTCACGTGACATCTGAGAAAGGTATGGCCCGTGCAGTAACCGATCAAAAATAGGTCGCTTCTCCCTATCTACAGCAGGTTGTATAATAAGCCGGGAGACTTCATAAATCTTTTTCCTTCTGCGCCACTGAATAAAACCTTTATGTTCGCCTGGTAAACTTTTCAGACATTCTGCGTATGTGTTTGTTAAAGAGAACGCCTGCATAATAAAGCAACATTTCATATTATAGATTATTCCATAGCATTAATAATTTATTTTATCATATCACTTATTCGCGACAGCAGCTTATGGCGTTGATAACAAACCTCATGGGCATGCAGTGACTATTGCTGTCCCTGATATAATAGTAATTATATATCATATGTTAATTATGCATTCATCGCGTCGTATCGAAAAGAGAATTTCTGCTATAAATATTGAATCAATTTAATTACTGATTATTGATATTTAACAACAAATGATCGAAATGGTCAAAATTAAAAAACAAATATGAAATTAAATTAGTTTTCATAACATTTTGAGTTTAATTGTTACTGAAAAATGATTACGAGACGACCGTGATTCGAGAAAAGGGTTATGTGTCACAGATATTTAAGATTTAATATATTTCATTTTAATCGTTTTATTCGTTCGTCATGGAAGAATAGGGATAAAACAGATATGTAAAATTGTACGGACAGAAAGTAAAAGTGTCTGCATTTGAATCTATTTGGATATGATATCCAGCTCTTGAAACCATCACATTTCCTCATTATGGACTGTATCTTCAATATTATTTTATCCATTCATTTAGGCATCATTTTCTTGCGCCTTTAGATGTATGAGCCCTTACCATGAACAGAGGAATAGGTAAGAATCGGAACTGTTCTCAAGTCTCATTGCGGTATAGGAAACACATCCGCTAGGCTGCGGCGACGATCATTTGCTATATTGCTATCACTTTCCTCACTTCCTTCTGACCGTCAACATGTTGCGCGACTATCCCATGTTCACATCTGCCCTTTAACTATTCATATTTTGCTATTTAAGTTCGAGTAGACTATACCTCAGCTACTTTCTTTTATAAAGTAAACATTATCTTAGAAGACTATGTACGTAGGTACGTGAAAGGGTTGGCCTATGTGTAAAAGGGCTATCGTCGATTATCGTTTTTGCCTTCGGTGTAACAATATGAAAACTGATTAGTGGTAAAGATGTCTTCTTAAAAATGATTAAGTATTTTCTATATATTCTCCGTAAGACTAACACATTGAACACCATCCTTAGGCAAATTAGTTTTCGCTTATGTGGCTTTGTCGATACGAAAATTAATGATAGCTTCTGTTATTTAAAATCGCGCTGGATAATTGTACCGTTCACATGCCAATATGCACGATCGCGCTTTCATTCCACAACATAGCGACTCGAATCTTTTCAAATGTCATTATCACTCTTCAACTAGTGACAAATGCGCACAAGGACAAAAATTTCTTACGCGATATCGTATACAGGATTATTGCTTTATTCAATACTTACCTTACTTGTTGGACATTCAGAAGAAAGATAATTATCACGACTTGTACGTGTGCGCTTCTGATGCAAAACATTGTTATTGAAGCAACCCATTCTTCTACTATGCTTACCATTCCGAGGTGAGTTATTAATGCCCTAAAATATTTTATATTTTTACTTCCTCTTTCAGAAGATAGCATAAGTTAACTTACTTTGTAAACTGTGCGAGAAGTACATATGCATGTCCCGATTGGCAGTCCTGCTGGACTTTCGTTTGATTTTCGTTTGGTTTTGTGGTAGAAAAACTTTCACGCGTTTCTCGACATCGTCTTGTTCGGCGTCATTGCAATTCCAAAGGCGGTGAGCTTCACGACGACGGCAAAGATTTCTTAGAGATACAAACGCTTTTTTGCCGCCTATAGTTACTCTTGCCAACAACAAGTCTTGTACGTAGGAGATGTTATTAGTCGCAAATTTCTTATTCTAGCATTTAAATGTTAAGGACATGTGAACATGAAAGCGCTAAAAAACCTAGAAAAAAATGAAATTTTTCGCTTTAACACCATTCGTTGTTTGGCCGATCTATTCATATTGTTGCGAAATTCGATTTTCTGGATAGGGTTCGTATCACAAGATCGTGGACATTCTTTTTAAGAGAAATACACTTTCACGTTTTCACCACAAGACTCTTTTATTTACAATCAATTTCTTTAAGGTTAGGATTAGTTACATTTTACTTTGGTGATACTTTCGACTTCTCAACTCTAATAATCTTTTTCGACTCAAATGATCTTGCCCGACTGACTCTGCCTTCCGAGAATAGTCTATTTTTATGCCTTTTTACAAGCATATTACTATTACCTAAGTTCATGGCATCCGCCATCCGCTTTACCGCTAATCGTTTTCCTCGGCCGATGCGCCGCGAACGTGCACTTGGGTTTTCCCTCTCTAGGTTATTTATTGTTTGGGAAAATCAATTAGTTGGAATGAACTGGATTTGGGATTTCCGTGACAATACGTTTATTTCAAAATGATTACAAAAACGACTTTCATCCAATAACTAGAAGAAGCACAAAACTAACCCAAACTCAAAACTTAAGCTAATACTACCATTGATAATAATAAGACAAATATAAGATATTTATTTAATGCTAACTTCTTCTTATGCGCATTTAATTATATAATTAATTACATTACCCAGCACGACAAACATTTGTTACTAAGGAGACTAAAATAGTCCTTATAAAAAAAAATTCTATCCATTTTCTATTACTTCCATTTTTAAATATAGTGTATTCGCTACTTTCTTTCAACCTATAACCCTCGCCGATCATGATCGTGCTCGCACGAATAGGGAACACTGCCCTAGTGACAGCTCGCATGCAAGTATATGCATGTGCCTGTATAAATATGTATGCACATATACATATGTGTGACTTCTTTAGGGTGTATTTAGGGCGTATTAACAAAACGGTATACATTGTTAGAAGCTGATCTTATCTGGCAAATATACTGTGAGGACTATTAATTAGTATAAAATTTTTAAATATTTGTGAAAAAACATCAATCAAACAAACAAGTATTGTTTATTCAACTTGCCTATTATAGCCATTTTGAAGCAATTTAATGACATCTCTTAAGCGTTATTAATTCATTATTCATTCAATAAACTATTTTCATTTTTTATCTACTTTTTAATTTCGATTTTTCAGCAACATTGAAATAAATGTCACCACATGCTCTTACCCAAATAACCTCAACCTTCATCGTATTACTGTCGACTAGAAAGTTGCATATGACCACATAGTTACTTGTAGTAGCAATGTTCGCAAGTGTACTATAAAAAATATTATGGTTTCATGTACAGCAGTAACCATATTGTTGTGTCAACCATATATTCATATAGAGAAATTTATTAAAAGCCGTAAATTTAATTTGTTTACTCTGAGTGTCATTCTTCTTCTCTGTCTTTTCTTTCCAGACAACGGATACTGTATATGAAGCAATAGCAGGAGTAGTATGCAACGCTCTAAATGACACCATATAATAAAATAGACGACATCGTCAGCTACGACGAGGAAGGGGAATAGTACGAGAGGCTTCTTAACGAATTTGTGATTTTTTTTTTTTTTTTTTTTTTTTTTTTTTATATATTCGATACTTTGAACTAAACCATGTACGTTGCGTTCCTGTAAAAGTTTCTATTAAAATATTATAGAGAAAGAAATTTAAGTTTTGTGTTAAGATTTTATTTATTTTTTTTTTGTCTTAAATTTTAAATTTTTTAAATGTCTTTTTAGTTGAAGGCTTCACTGAAAAAAGACATAGTTTGTAGTTAAAATTTAAATAAGACAGAGTCACTTAGAGAAAGAAAAGAAGAATTATATAGCAGTGCGCATAAAATTTTTTGTTGTGAGAGAGTCACCATGTCACATGGGGGCGACCAGGAATGTATGTAATATTTCCAGTTGAAGAACTCATCTTGATGACATACGGTGCCTCTATACCACGCATAGCTCCACGACCAACACTTGATTGTCTGCGTGAACCTAAAGTACCAATTTATATACCTGTCAGAAGTCAACCCAAGTCTTTTGGACTACAAACACCTTTATCGCCAACAATTCCTAGTGTTATATTTAAGGATCCCGTCTTAGCATCAGGTTTTATCGAACCGGAACCAGTAGCAGTACCGTTTAACAGTGAGATAAACCTTAGTTGCTTGCCACCACGTCCTTCTCCTTTATTAAGTGCGAACCGTGGTTCCCTTACTTCGCTGAAGAGAGCGCCTTCCCTTCAAAGGACACCGCAATTGCCACCTAAAATACAAACTGAGTCCTTTAAATATTCACCTAATCTGCCCCCTAAAGCACCTATGTATAATGATTTAAAAATGCGTGCGGCACAGCAACAAGAACAACAGCAACAGCAGCAACAACAGCAAGGCACGAGCGCAAGTTCTGGTTCGCGACGTCCTACTTTAGAACGTGGCACGGCCATAAGTCGTGGAAGTACACCTTTGCGCTCTCCCGCTCCTTTAAATGCCATATACGATGAGGACGAGGCAGCCGGTGGTGGTGGCGATTATGCGGCAGGATCCGCGAGAAGAGAAAGAAGTCCTAGTATACTATTGGAGTTAGCGCCGCCCGATCCAACACAACCTCGATTAGGCCCCGGTTGGGGTCGACCTATGTCACCCATGGATTTGCCTCCCGAAAAGTCATCATCTTCACGATCTCCAAAATTACTACTAAAACCTAAATTGCATATACCCCTGGGAAAATTGGGACGTTCCGTTTCGTCGGAACCAAGAGAATCAAATAGACTGCGTGAGGATCTGCAATTGCATGTAGAGAATCCTATATTTAATACGGAGAATCTAAGACAAAGAAATTTCGATGTGTTCTTTGATGCCGGAGAGCCGGTATATAAACTGCAACCTAAGTCACCGTTATCTGCGCCTACCGATTCCGCCTCAGGTGGTAGTAATTCACCGCCTTTAAGCAATTATGCTGGAGTTTATGATCCTTTATCGAAGAAGAGCAACCGAACTACGAAGGGAGGTTTATTTGCCCGATCGCCGCGCGAGGAGAGAGCTTTGGCAATGCGTTCGAAAAGTACAGATCATTACGAAGATGCCCATGGAGGACGTTCAGCTTCATTAGGTGCCGGAGGAGCAGCCAGTACAGTTAGTGGCGGCGGTGTCAGCGGTGAAGCTGGCGGTAGTGGCAGTGTGCCCCAGAAAGGTGACAGGTGCCCCCAACAAATTCATAATCTTTAAAATCTAATCGTATTATTAGTTACAGTTAGTGACAGCTTGTCAAAGTAAAATGACTAGCAAATGAATCCCACAGTGGAAACATTTGTGTGGCATAACCACGAGTAATGTTGGAATGGAATGCAGCTAACCTTTTAAAATATTTCTAAAAATTCGAAGATTAAATTTTTTAAATTCTCGTTGTCTTGTTAAATATTGCGTTAAATATTCGTTTTTGTAATGCATCCCAGTTTAAGTCAACTACTTGAAGATTTCCGTTATACTTCATCAGTATAATATGGGAATTAATAAATCAATAAATTTTTTTTTGTTTTGCATAGCTGTAAATCATCACGCGCGTTAAGTGGTTAAAATTTCATAGCACACAAAAATACGTAATAAATAATACACGCAAATGCACTTTACCCAAAGGTCGTTTAATATCAATAAATGTCACATGGCAATGTAAATCGAAAAACTTAAACGCACTCATAAAATAACTGCAATCAAATACTAGTTATTAACTGGAACGATCTCTTAATCCTGCAAAAAACAAAAAACATAAAAAAGAAGAAGAAGAAGAAGAAGAGAAGGGACAATAGTTAAATTCAAAAAGCTTAACAATTTTTATTTCTCTTGTTTTGATTGGATTTCTGATGTTGTCGTTGTTGTTCTTGTTGTTATTGTTATTATTTTTCATTTCTGTTCTTGATTGATTTGTTATTTGTTTGTTTCTGTTTTTGTTATTGTTTTTGTAAACTTTTCTTTTCAATTTTAATTAACTTCCAAAAACTAATCTCAAATTTGATTTCGTTTCTATTTAGATTTCTTGGGAAAATTTTCAAGTGGTCCAAAAAGTCGTAGTTTGTTTGGGTGGAGGGGACCACATGGTGGTTCCCTTAACCCCGCACTATCAACTAGTATGGCGTCTTATACGGGTGTACTTAAGGATTATGGACACATTAGTTTAAACGAGGCTTTTAAATCCCAAAATAATGTCAACTTTAAGTTAATTAAAACCGGTAAGTATTACGTAAATTAATTATTTCGATTATCATAATAAAAATCCATAATAGAAAATTCTTGATCGAATCAAGTCCGAAGGGAAATATCCGAGAAGATTTCAAGTCTTCGTATGAGTCTAAAGTTCTCATTTGGCAAGTAGAGAGGAGGAAAGTTTTTAATTAAAATTCATAGCTATCCATAAAGCGAACCATCCGTATCTGCTCTTATTGCACCCTACACCACTTGTTTTACAAGAGTATATTAAGTTAGCGCGCAGAGTTGAGAGAATCCTGCCTTCTATTATACTGATCGATTCACGCTGTTGAAAACGGTTCGAATCGGAGCACTTCCCCGATCATTTCCCATATAACATCGTATTTGGAAAAACAACTTATTTTTAATGACTAAATTAAGCGAAGTAGTGGAGGGTACTTAATAGTGTACCGTGAGCAAATATAATACTTTTACTTTGTTTTTAACCGCAAAAATTTTATTGTTCTTTTAGAGCAAAGTTTTGTACGTATAGACACGCACATACACACAAATACAAATTGTTTTGCAGTTTAGAGGTTTGTCAGAAACTTTCTCGTATAAAAAGTTATCTCACGGCGAGAAACTTTTTCGACCACAAAATAAACCGTTTACAGTTACAATTGTGGCTTAATGTTCATTACATATACTGAATATAAAAGCCTTTATATGTATGAAATAATATAAAAAAGTTTTGTGACTTGTGGTAAAACCTTTGCGGGGGGACGTTTGAATGAAATTCAGCGAAAATTCTGAATAACTTATGATCGACATTGGTTTCTTAAGAAAGACCTTTTGATATATTTTTCTCTTTCTTCATATATATATATATAAATAGATAGATAGATAGATAGATAGATAGAGAGAGAGAGAGAGAGAGAGAGAGAGAGAGAGAGAGAGAGAGAGAGAGAGAGAGAGATACATAGCACAAATTTTTCAGAAATTCCTTCCTTGCAGACCTTTACAATCCTGTTCTTCCTATCCATCAAAAGGATAAGCAAAGGAAAAAAAAAACTTTTTTCCGGTAGAGCTCGACTTTATTAATCAAAATAATCTTCTCTACTAACGTTACAGTTGCTTTTTTATGGAAAAATCTTTCAAGAAAAGTATTCCCCAGTTTTAGCAAATACTTTATGATATCAAGAAAATATTTTCCTGGAGCTTTTTTTTGAGATAGGCAAACAGATAATTGTTGTGTGGCAGCCGCTAGAACTTAAAAAAAATTTCTCATTGTAGCCGTTCACTAGTCGTATGGTGCCTTTGCTCCACTGTACGCACCCGCGATAACGTAGTCACCCATAAGAGTGATGCAGCTAAACCAATGCTTCTCTAACATTTCAAAGACTTTTTTATCGAAAGATTTGTCACGATATGCACACTTCGACTTGTAAAACGGCATCATAAATTGGTTCAAGTTTTCTTCTGGGAGGATCTGCCGGATCTCCTATTCCAAATCGTGGGCTAAAGGAAACGATAGGCAGGGTAGGGTACAAAATGGCTCAGAGCTTATAATGTGCCCAGTCAATAGGTAGGTTTCGTCCGTCCGTTTAATCCTAGAAGGGTAAAGCACATGCATTCCTCTTAGACGTAGCCGTCTGTGGTACACAAACGTTGAAAATAGCGGGGTATTTTAAGAGATCTTGTCTTAGCATTAGCATTTTCTAAAGATAATACAGAATATTAGTTAGAGGTGGCACCTATGTTTCATACCCCTAACTTAGTGCCCGGTTTATTGTTGTATAGCATAGATGCGTGAATGTTGGACACGTTGAACGATAGTTAATAGTTGCCGGAGGAAGAAAAAGTTTTAGCTTCTTTTTAGTAAAATTTACGGCACATTTCTACCACATATACCTCTTGGAGGCAAATGGCGGCTCTTTGCCTCTTAAATTACAATTTGTGAAAGTCGAAGACTAAAAGTCCATTTTAATTTTATTACTAAAAAACTCAGTTCTTATCGAGACAACTTAGTTTGTAGAAAGTTGTACATTTTTCGTCGATTGAGAAATATTTACGCCAAAGAATCAGATTATAATCCATCCAGAGATGCGACTTGCGAAACGAAGCTGAAATTTTTCTTACCGCTCTTCGCTCGAAAAATGAAAATTTAATAATTTTGTTATTTTGTTTGCAAAAGTACTCATGTATTTTCCTCTCGTTTATATCATCAATGAAATGTTGATTTTGGTCTTTAAAAACACATTGATGGTTATTTAGGGCATGCTCTTATGCGAGCACTCAACACTTTCGTATTTATGATCAAAATAAATAAAAACTTAAGCCAAACTATGTTAAATAATTAATAGCGTTTTATTCCTTTGGCAAAAAAAAAAAATTATCACAATTTATTGACTCAATATTCGTTTTAGTAATATTTTATCATTTGCTGTTAATGGTCTTTGTTTTTTTCGCATAGTTGGCAAAATTACTCATAAAATAAGTGTTAATGAGCTAATTTACATTGTTTTTGGGAATTTTAGTCATTTCGATAAAACAAACACTTTTTTTTTCGTATTTTATTAAGTGTCGTTAATGTTCCGGCATAGCACGTCTTTCATTTGAACATTTACACGTTTTTATCTTAACTTTCCCTTTATTCTCAACAATAAATTATTATAAGTTAATTTTGTGCTGGAGACAAAAGTTAGCATAAGACGTTGAAAATAGTTAACCATTTTATTGCCTTTCAGCATCAACGCTTTTCATTTGCCACCTTACTCTCTTCCATCTATTCGCCGTATTTACTAAGCATCTATCAAAGTGCCAGCAGAGTGATGGCTTAAGTGGTTTTCCGTTCAATGAGTTGCAACTCATACATAATGACGTTGACAAGGTTTTCGTTTCAGAGAATTCAAAAGTACAGCGAAAAGACAATACAATAGAGAGGGGGACACTTAACTCAATCAAATGTCAAGTGCATTTTCCCATATATCTACATAAAAATTACATATATTAATATAATCATTCTTTTGTTGCTCAAAAAGACGGAAAGGTATTCTGGGGAATTGCCCTTTTTTGTTTTCAAGAGACGTTAAACTAGCCGCTATTTCCGTTAATGGTTTTTCAATGTGTATGTGATTGCCATCTCTCCGATAAATCGTCTATGATAATAAAATGGTCCTTGTGTTGTGAACAGATTTCTTGCTAACTTAATCCCAGATGATGTTAGACAAATGACAAGAATCAGATTTGTAGCATGGATTTAACGTGGGTTAAGCCTGCCGTGATGCCTTAACCCCACGGTGGCCCAAGCCAATTTAAGCGTAATATACGCCCCCTGGCGAGTTAGACAATTCCCACAGAGGGGGGGGCCTAAGCAGCACCAGAATCCAGAACAGTTTATTGCGTATGGATCAATAAACACAACTCTGGTCAGGGGTGAGGCCTAGCGGCACTCGATTGTTCCACTTTGGCTTCGAACTGCCAAATGGCAAGAATCAGAATTTGTAGCAAGGGTTTATCATAGGTTCCTGCCTGAAAGGCTTAACCCCACGGTGGCCCAAGCCACTTTAAGCGTACTACGCCCCCTGGCGAGTTAGACAATCCCCACAGAGGGGGGGGGGCCTAAGCAGCACCAGAGTCCAGAACAGTTTATTGCTTATGGATCAATAAACCCAACTCTGGTCAGTGGTGAGGCGTAGCTGCACTCGATTGTTCCACTTTGGCTTGGAACTGCCAAATGGCAAGAATCAGAGCGAGGCTTGTGAAAACTAAGGAAAAAGCGTAAAATGTGGTCATTTACGTTCTATTCTTCGCTAAGTAAGTTCAAAGCCGATTGCAAGTTGATCTAGAATCTTTTGGCAAAATTGTATGCATCGATAAGGGTCATATCGCATAGGTCAATAACGAATTTTTTTTTTAATATCACTAATCAGTTAGGAGCTGCATTCTATATCTGTAACGCGATAATGATCAGAAAAAAATTCGCTATGTCGTGCAACATTGCTTCACTGATTCACAAAAAATGGATGTAGGTTCGTCCATGGACTTAGGTGTTTTATTCGATCATAGGCTTTTATTAAGCGGTAGTTTGAGGACCTTGACGTTATTTACGTAACAACAAGACTTAGACAGCGCTTAGTGAGATCTGAATACTGGAATATGCACCCTTCCTATAGGTGCTGTTTAGATTTAAAAGAATCCGTTCAAAAGCAGTTCCTAATCTTTGCCCTTAAAAATATGAGCTTGGATCCGCTTGCCTCTTAGACTCTTTGCGAGAATAGCTAGCTTGGCTAACCTTGCCGTCATTTGAAAAACGTAGATTTGTCTTTGGTGTTTTCTTCTTAATGAGGTCAATAAACGTTACCATCAATTCGCCGACAATACTTGAGAATATAAACTTTAATGTCCCGAACGATTTCTCTAGGAACTGTACCTTCATAAAACTTAGTCCAGATATAAATACGAGCTTTTTAATTTTCTTCCGGTTCTTTGCAAAAATTTAGATGATGTCTGCAGTTTATCCTCAATATCGGATTCATCAAAAACTTCCATATCAATTCTCCTAAATAGGCGCACTTTGCCTAAGTCATAACTAAATTAGCTTCTAATCTTGATATTGTTACGGAAATCCTAAATCCAGTTCATTCCAACTAATTGATTTTCCCAAATAATAAATAACCTAGAGAGGGAAAACCGAAGTGCACAATCGCGGCGCTTCGGCCGAGGAAAACGATTAGCGGAAACGCGGATGGCGGATGCCATGAACTTAGGTAATAGTTATACGATTGTAAAAATGTTTGTAAATAGACTACTCTCGGAAGACAGAGTCAGTCGGACAAGAAAAAGAATATTAGAGTTGAGAAGTCGAGAGTATTGCCAAAGTAAAACGTAACTAATCCTAACCTTAAAGAAATTGATGGTAAATAAAAGAGCCTTGTGGTGAAGACATGGAAATGTATTTCTCTTAAAAAGAATATCCACGATCTAGTGATACGAACCGTATCGAGAAAACCGAATTTCGTAACAATATCTTCATGCAAGTCGA